TACATTTTTTTTTTGCTTGTATTACTTTTTATTTTTTTTTACAAGAAAAATAAAAAAATGATGTTGCCAAAGTACATTTTATTTTTTTATGCCTTTTGTTTTATTTTTTTGCAAGAAATACTTGTTATATTACCTTGAATTTTTTTTACAAAAAAAATAAAAAAATGTTGTATTATCTTTTTTATCTGTATTTTGAAAAACCTTTTATTTTATATTTTTTCTATTTTTTTACAACAGTATTTTTTACCTGTGTTTATTTTTTTGACAACAAATTGTATTTTTTTTACAAAAAAAATAAAAAAAATTTGTATCATCTTTTTTATCTTTATCTTGAAAAGCCTTTTATTTTATATTTTTTCTATTTTTTTACAACAATATTTTCTGCCTTTGTTTGTTTTTTTGACAAAAAAATTTTTCTTGTATTTTTTGGTTGTGCGAACTCAAAAAATTTGTTGTGCGCTGAGGGGTTCGAACTCAAAATATTTTTTGGTGTCCACTATGGGGTTCGAACTCAAGACATACACCCAAAATTCGATGTTGTCAACCAACATGGCCACGTCGCCACATGTGATTCTTCTAGCTTCCATAATAATATATATTCAATGATATTGCTTTAATGACTTTTTGTGGGAATTATCCCACATCGAAGGATGAGTGTTGATTGGTTCTCTATAAAGTCATGTGTATTAGACTTTTTGTCGCGCCTGTAGAAACGTGAGGGAGGCAAACGTGAGATGAGTTACCACGTGTGGCCACGTGTCACTCTCGTGCGATGGCCACGTGTCACTCATGTGAGGCTGCCACGTGTAAACCCAAAAAACTACCGGTTTGTTATGTGAGACTCGCGATTCTCTATTCGGAATCGCCCGGTTCTCTCTGGACACGGGCGATTCCCGGTTTTTTCGTGGAACAGGCTTGGTAGCAGGCGATTCCCGAGTCGAACCGGGCGAGTCCGGCTTGACTCGACGAGTTTTCAAACACTGGTTTAGCCGCATGAATTTGTTGAAATTGCACCAGTTCGTCCATGTAACCTTGCTGAAATTGCTTATGCTCAGCCCTAAAACATACTAGGGGAGCATCTTTGGGATGAGAGCGCTCGATGTTTGAACCAACATCACCTATTTATTTTCCTTTTGAGTCCTTCATCTTTTTCTTCATCAAATATCAATTTAACCACAAAATTTTGATCGTCATCGTAGATAGGATCTCCTACAAGATATTGTTCTTCATCTAAGTATATATTGAAAATTGGTGGCAGCTCCAAATCTACAACCTGCTAACTTTTGATATGATGTACACCAACATCAACATTGTTCTCCTTCAAATCATGTAGATCAACTAAATCCCATGATCTATTCTCCCCAATATGAGGCTCCCAACACGGAGCGTGTGCATAACATGGGTGGTCGAAGGCAGCTCCATCACTCCGCTCCAACTCTGAGTCGGACTCTAATTTGCGCCATTATACATAAAACCCTCACGATTTGGATCTATCCCCGTAGATACCTCTTTGTTTAGAGCACCTTGTTGCTCCTCTCGTTTATGCAACAACCGAGCAATTTTCACCGTCAAGTTGTTGATTTCCTTGCGCAATCGAATCATATCAGCATCCCTACAGCTATGACCTCCACGACCAACCATCGCAATCTAGAACCATCTTTGAACCAATCTCTTATACCAATTTGACGCAGCAAAAAAAAAAAACCATGAAAACAAAGAGAAGACACTCTCTCTCTCTCTC